AGTACAGCGTTTCCTCGTTCGCCTCCAAAGTAGGAGTTGAACGTGCAAACGTATCTGACCATAAGAATGATAAAGACGGCCAGCTTTACTCTCTCTTCTTGGGAAGTTCAAACTACAGCGAATATTTATTGTCATAACAAGAACAATTAGGAATTTACCAATAGGGAAATCACCAAGAAATCTGACTTAAGGCGTGTTCCTACTAAACTCAAACTAATACACAGTAATGACTATTAACTAGTACTTTTATGTATGCAATTCTGAATCTCAGTAACTGCATCTTCAACGTGTTAATTCTTCGAAATTGCAAAAAAATCCGAGGAAAGAGAATAAACAATGGATAATAAACATACAATAGTAATCGGAGAAGAAAAAAATAGAAACACAACATCACGGGGAATACTATGAGCGAGTTTGGCACCAATAACATATCACGAAATATAGTAAACGGCGTTCTATCAGAAATGCGCCCGACAATGTATGAAGCAAGTGAGATTGTGCCTACAAGTGATAAATAGGTCGAAATGCTTTCAGAATAGAATTCACGGCGCAGGTTACAATGTAATGCCCACCTTAAACTTTTTTCAAAGCAGCGCGGTGCGACACTGCCTTAAAGGCAAGCCCCAGGATCAGACTAGTGTATAAGAGCGCTACGTAACGATAACTGATCGCTGGATTTAACTGAAAGTGGAAAGGAGAAGCAAGAAAAATAATCGGAAACGCTAAAATCAAGGCCTCAGCCTTCAGCAAGGTTGAATGTGGTACGAGGAAGAGCAGTCAGAGAAGGCAAAGCGTGCGAGAGAACCAGAGAAGGTAAAACGTGCGAGAGAGCACGCCGTTTGGGAAAGCACACTGATCCCTACATCAGTCGCGGTGGGTGGGGAGCGGGTGCAACGGAAGTCGATGGTTGCAGGCCCGTAAGGATTAGCGCCCTAATTGCGCATTTTGTGCTGTGAAACTGGGCTGGCATGATCTACGTAGGCACGAACCCTGCAATTTCCCTCGCAGTGTCATTTCGACTAGCCGGACTAATGCCGAGACTTGCCTTTGAGCTGCTTTATACTCGACGTTTGCTGCAGCCAGCTATGTGAGCGGTAGTAGAAAGCGCCCACTAAGATATGTCACAGGACCCTTGTATGTGGCCCTCCCCCACACCATTTTACCGACTGTAACAAAGTTGCCTTTCAATTCATTTCGCAAGCTACAACTGGCAATGTCACGCGCGACGGCGACAACATACACGATAATAGCTGGCCGAACACCCGCAACCATTGCTGTTCCAATGTGGACGGGAAAATGGAGCGGGAGTCTCCGAGCCGCGTATTCGTCGAGTGTGAAAGTATCCGTCACTTAGTGAACTGAAGGCATGCCATTGCAACTGCGCTGTGATTTGTGTGCTCTTATGAATCAAATTTAAGATCACAATCGGCAGCTAACTTTCAAAATTTGGACAAAATAAAGTTTCAAAGCTATGCTCAAAGAAAAGTGATCTGAAATCTTGATGGCACCATTTTCAGCAAAATATGCGAGGGCAGTGTTTCGCTTTTAGGAAGCATTCCAGAAGGTCTTGATAGAATAACGACATCCTATAACTCCAAATCCTCTAAGGATGGAGCTGGTTTGAAGCCACCCTATTAGAATTAAGCCGTTTGAGGAGAAGGGCCTCCATCATAGGTACCATTGAGCAAGATACATACATCGACCTAGCAAGCTCTAGATATCAGAAGTTGAAAAGGTGATGCCGAAGCAATTCCCCTATTTGAAAAACCGTCTGATCAAAGACATCGTTACATCACAAATCTTATACTTCGTCTCAATAATGGCACCGAAATGGCAGTGTGGTGCAGCAGTAAGAAGGACCGCATCCTAGTTGGATAGTCTCGGGGGATCGGATCTCTACAAAACTCTCAAGCTGTTTGATTTCCGAGCACCTTGAGGGACAAATAAAGAGATGTATGAGAAGAACGGGGCGCTGTCTCGCACATAGGTTAACCACTAAAGACAAAGTACAGAGCGAAAACGCGTCCAAGTAGTCTCCTGTTTAGAAGTGACTCGGGTGACTGGCGCAGAGGTCATTTGAATAATCAAGTGGATTTTTGGACTTACTCAGTGGGTAAGGCTCCCTAACGTGTGCACTGCCCTAACGCGTATCTAGCTATAAGAATCTGTGAGAAGAAACACGAAAACTTGCAGCAAAGTTCGTACAATCTACATCATCTGTCAAGGAAGTGGCTTCTAATTTCTGCGACAGCACGGACAGAAGAATCGAATGAACTTCTTGCGATATGGCGCGATAAATACGAGAATCGCTACGAGGACAACCAACGGTCGAATCAAGAATATTCTCAGATGCTCCACGTAGAAATCACCGGCTGCATTCAATGGAAGTCTCAGCTCGTCTTCCTTGGAGAAGTTGAACGTGATGAGGAAGTCTTGCGACAACGATACAGCGGCCCAAACTGAAAAGGTTAGGATAGTTCAAACTGAACAGAGCCTCTTGTTTTCTGTACAGAGGCTTCATTCGAAAGAAGATACTGAAAGAATGCGTGCGACATAACAAGTCTAAAGCGAAACACCAAAGGAAGACGGCCAGCAGACCGACCGAGCCAGCTGAAGTGAGGTGTACGCCCTTCTATTCGCCTTGAAAAACTGGGCTTAGAACTGCGTACCATATCTGCTGAACGATTTTTCGACCGGAGCTATGGGAATTTTGTTCCGGCCTATCTTACCCCCTTTCCTTGTAGAAGGTGCGTCTGCGCAAGTGCTCGCAAACTCTTCACAACGGTTAATTTTGATGCTTTCCTTCTGCCAGCGGGATTTCATGTGGAAAACTTACTCATAATCCAACAATAACGGTTTGTACCTAAGGACCTTGTTGGCAGAGGAAAAGCATGAAAGGTAATAATGATGCCGAGGTTCTATGTATGGATAGGGAGGTTGGAGATCTCTCCATAAGAGCACAGCTACGTCACTGATAACAGCAAAAGAACAGACTCCATAGAGAGTCGATCTGGTCACCTCTTGCACTATCGTGCTATTCTATTTCATTTGCAGTATCATTTTGTAGGTATGAAAAATGCTTAGCAATGCGAGGCAAATGGATCGGCATAAACCTCACATCGATTGACCAGGTAGACCGTTGGGCTTTCCTCTAACGAAAAGGGTGAACTCACTTAGATATGGTACAGCGAACGATTGAACGACGATTTGAAAAAGTATGAACGAGAACAGCCTTCGTTTGCCATAGCGAACCTAAAGCAAAATCAATTTTTTGGGTTTTTTATGATCTCGAACAAAGGTAAATTGGTGAATTTGGTGATTTATCCGGCAGCAAGAGTACCTGATCGTAGGGCGAAGATTTTGTGTAGTCATCTCGACGACGGCAGAAAACTATCAATGACTGCAAAGAAAAAAATGATGGCTGCTGTAGTAGTACAAACAGGAAGGAAGCTGTTTTTGTGAACGAATACAAAAATATAAAAAAGTACAAGAAATAATATTTAAAAGCAGGCACGATTGCTTAGCTAAAGCTGGTGCAAGCTGTTGGATGAGCTTGGAAAGGTCACGGATCTCATAGAAAAATATCAAAACTTATTTCAAATCACAAAAATTTGCAGAATTTTAGCATCATAAGGACTTCTTCACGATGGTGATTGTCGCCTACAGTAGTAAGTCCAATTGTTGCAGAGGGAGTAAATTCACCAGGCGCGTGAGCTATTCCGCTTCAGCTTTTGCACCCACCCCGCAGCAGGATCAACCTTAATGTATGTTGCGGACAAGGAGCAACGGGCGGGGTCGTTAGATCCTGTTGAGTTTGGGGGGGGGGTTTCCCTCACGTCACCTCCTCCCTAACCGGTTCGTACTGGTCGTAGAAGCGACGAACTTAAATGTAATTTGAGGTGGAGAGCGCCCCCACAGCGAGAACAATTTGCACCCCCCCTCCAGAAATGATTGTTGTGGGAAGGTATGCTAGGAATTAGGTAAAATAGAAGGGGAAATGAGCGAAAAAGTGACGGGAATATCAGGAATCCCCTTCCCCCCTTCTCCGCGCTCGACCGGTTGTTTTTTAGTGAAAAGAAGTTGTTGAAGAAGGGACGAAATGAAAATCTCTCATGAAAAGAGGGGTCGTGAAATTTGGGTTCAAAAGTCAGATAACGCTAGGGTTGACCCTTGTACCGCGCAGACCCTCTGCGCTAGAGTCGGAATTACCAGGCGTTATATTGACACGTTGTAGCATTCTCATCCCCCCCCTCTGCCATGCCCCCCCCCCTACGCCCTTCCTTTTTCAAATGGACTCAGAAGTAAGATAAATAAGATAAAGAAATATAAAAAAGTAGCAATAGTCAATGACTTACTGCGAGGACCTGCGTGCAGAGCGTGAAGGCAACAAGGCATGCTGCCAGTCGTATGATTGCTGTCGCCCCCAAAGCCACGTAAGGCGGTACCTACAGACAGAATTATTCTATATAGGTAATGTAAAGCCAGAATGAGTAAGCAAAAAAGCAATAACCGATGAGAACGAAGCTTACCCTAAAGATGGCGAGAAGTGTATCGATGATTGTGAACAGAATAGGGAAGAGTTGCACTTTCAAAAAAGGACCATCTGAATTGGGAAAACATTTGATGGCTTCAGCATTCAACAAATTCTCGAAGACTGCTCAATATCGAAAGTGGAGTAGTGGCAAAAGACGGCGCAACAAATGCCCATGATTCCGTGTGTCAAATCCGAAACAGAGTTAGAAGGTTTTCGAACTTTCAGGATTGACTGAATGATAGCGAACCCATCCGAGAAGTACTGATGCTTCACTGCATCCAATTGCCTCAACTGTTCAGAGCAAAACTCGAATGCATTTGTGGCATAGCGCGAAGTTAGGTCACAATGCACATCCTTTTGGCTCTCGGCCGTTTTTATTGTTCAGTTTTATTTTTTGTTCACTATAGAAATTACTACTGTATGTTCTCTTTGCACATCTGTGTACGTAACCGAATTCAAAAGATCTGTTTGTGACATGTGAAACTTTGAACCGTGGCAGAATGATAGGAAATGTTTAGTACTTGCTATACCAGCGGTGCATACTGCTTCTGACCAGAATCCTTTTTGTCGTTTGAATACGATTTGGATTATGTGCTGAAGTGCGGGGGCTACAAATGGTCTGATGGCAGCTCTCGTGACAAGCTCGGCTAAGCGTTAATAGCACGGTTTTTCATGCTATCGCCACCTGTCGTCTACGACCTACTTCCTATCGTTCCATGTTAAAATCCAAAATTTGACTACCTTTCTCAGAGAGGGTCTTGATACGATTCCCCCTCCCCCTCTAGCAGATCATCAGCCTTAACAGAGCCTTCCGATGAGCCCTCCCCACCCCATCACCCTCACCATCACGGCTGTTTCTATCGCACTTCCGAGAACAGGAAGGGAAGAGCACTGATTGGCTAAAACACGGCAAATGTTTTAATTTGTCTACATTTCGCTTTTTCCTGAAATTTGCGTCCAAATCCCCAGAAGCCTGCTAATCACGCCCTCTTCACCTTCCAATAATACGACCCTAGCATCCTTCATCCCTTTCATACTCACAACTGCACAACGCACGCCTGCCTCATTTGGTCCCTGCTCTACCCTGCCCTCTACCCATCCTTCTTTTTCATGAACCATCTTTTTATCGCGGCTTTTCTTGACTTTAATCAATAGTGCATGGCCTCAGATAGATTGAAGGCTTTCGTGGAATCCGATCCGTGATTTGATCCAAGACAGGGCCAACCGTCTGTGGGGGCCTTATATGCGATTAATGGATGGAAAAAATATTCCGGACTTCTAGGGGGTCTTGTCGGGAGAGGAGATCGTTCTGAAGTCTTCTTCGTCCTCTAGCAAGTAGTTGAGAGGAAAATTGCACTTTTTCAGTTGGTTCTGAATTCGATTTATCACTTCTCCAGTGGTGTCAGTTGGTGTGGCAGTTTCAAAAGAAATAGGATAATAGCTTGAGTAATAGGCAAAACCAGAAACTCACATGTAGGGAATGTAATTGATCTCCTCCGGTCGAACAATTGCTTTGTGAGCGTAGTAGAAGGCAACAACCGAAGAGAATAACGTCGACCAGAAAATGATATCCCCAAAGATAAAGGAGACAAGGGGGAATACCGAATTTGCGCTGAAAGCGAAGAATTCATGTGAAATGCTACAAAAAAGAGCATTAATGAAAACTTGTTCGCAGAGTTTTAGAATACGTGCGCCTGACAACTCAAAATTCACTTTTCAAAGATAACTACAAACTGAAGAGAATCATATTCTCATGATAAATATTGAAAGGCAACTACCAGCAGTGCGTAGCTTTTTCTGTATATCACGGCTGCCGGGAGGTTGTGAGTGGCATCTCAAGCAGGGTGAAAATCGTGTCGAGTACGTGGTCGCAGAGGTACGACCCCCCCCCCGAAATCGAGATCCTGGCACGACCCCCTCTAACAGAGCAAATTAATTCAATTAAAATAAATCCTGCAAAACAAATCAAAAAAAATTCTGCAAAATAATGCTAAGGACAAAAAAACTTCATCTTGTCATCTATGCACGTCTTCCATCGCTGCATACTTTTGTGTACATACTGAAATATCGACTCGAGGAAAGAGGCATTAACTTTGTGTGACCTCAAGGCGAGGTTCGTTCAGAAACGCACAGAAATCCTGAAGACACGGGGTTGCGATTCAATCTTGATTCTTGCTTGAGTATATCAAAACAGCCGAGTGTATCAAAGGCCGATTCAACGGCAGCTGCGGCGCGATTGTCACTGGGTCAGATTTGCCGAAATTTCAAAAAAAAACGTCCGAATCTACACCCTCGATGAAAAGGTTGCATTCCTCCATTTCACAACCTTTGAAGCAGCTTGAGGTAGAGTTAGATAGAGCTGGATTTCGCGTTTCCAACAAGCATCGAAATTGCTCTGGAAGCCTTCCTTGCAGAAAGATAGGGTCTGTCAAATTTCGTCGAGTAAATGTCCCCCCCCACCCCCCCTACTCGGCGCTCTTCGATGGAAGGCCCGAGCCAAATTTTCACGCGAGTTTTTGCCACTTCAAGAGCAATATATCTCTTATATTGTAAGATCCTGAAAAAGGGAAGATAGTTTTGGAAAGCGGAAGGTTTGCGCTTCCTGATGGTCTGTTTAGTTTTCTTCTACAGCTTTTTGGTTGAAGAGATAATTGCGTCGAGGATCTATCGAGGTCGGATCCGGCCACCTGGAAATCCGCTCCCTCATTCACCATTGCAAGTGTGACTCGTTGGCAACACTCGGAATGTGTCTAGAACAATATCTTTGAACGCAAACAATAAGAATAGGAGCAATCGTCATCATCCGATTTGGTATTGGTATAAGCCATGCATCCCTCCTCCACTCACAGTTGCAGAATCGATTGAAAGGTGTTATATGATGGGGACCTTCGAACGAAACTGTATTGTAGTAGACATAGTGTGTTGTGCTATTCCTGTAACCTAAAAAACAACTTCATTTGCCCAGCGCTTTTTCTTCACGGTTGTCGTTTTTCCGACAGGGTCCCTAACAACAGCGTCATTCTCAGCGAGGTATTAAGGGAGAAGGAGCGAGTGATAGGCGGAGGAGGTGCCTTTGCAGCGCGTGCGCACATGTGGCACTCTTCTTTGCGGGGATGCACTTTCATTCTTTGTACTGCCTTCAAATACGCCCTTCTCATGAAGGTGGAGGAATGGAGCGACTGAACCTGCAAAGAAAATTTAATATCATGTTTTTTTCGGATGTTTTCATTTTCTGCTGCGCTATACCCTATTACCTATCTGCACCATGATACCACTTCTGTTACTGACCCCCAAGAGTACGACCCCCCATGGACCAGCCCAACAGGTACGACCCCCCTGTCGAGGATTTCCTCGACCGATATTCACCCTGCTCTCAAGTGTACCTGCCTTTAACCGTAGAAAGCGCTAGCTATTAAATGGCACGAAATTTGCTATGTAATACATGTAGCGCAGTAAGGAAGCATCGCATAGTATGCACACCTAGTCTACGCAGGATAGCTTAGGTGCAGT